CAGTTTGTAAGACATGAATATAAAGCAGCCATTAGTTGGGTTCTTGAGCAATCTATGAATCATCTTCAGTTAGGTGGGTGAATAGGTCAGGACCTTGTCATGAGACAGGTGGAAGGACAAAACACAGTCACGATATTTTATATAGCAACAAATGAGATGTGTTGATCAGGGGACACTGAACAGATGGGTAACATCAGTCAAAAGACAACATGGTACTGAATATTATGTTTTGAACAGGGCTCAGAAATGTGGCATATCAGTATGTGAAGAGGGGGGCTCATATATTTGTGGAAGGGAAAGTGGACTACAGTGAATACATGGATAAAAATAATGTAAGTGGCAAGCAACAACAATCATAGCCAATAACATCATATTTCTGAGTGACCAGAAAAAATAAAAGGAATAGAACACATGATTATTCTTTGATCATTGTTTTGTATATCCTCCTTACTAAATAATGTAGTCTACAGATTAAAAATAAAGATTAAAAGTTTTCTATTAAAAAAGTGTTAATGTTATCACTAAGTCATTTTAAATATTTTAATGTTTATTTTTTTATACTATACTTTACATCCAACACTTGAAGAAAGAAAATGATTATGGTGTTTTAAAAATACAACCACTGGACTAGACATACTCCTTCATGATTATATCTCATCAATACCTCAGAACACAAAAGGACACTGTGAGTTAATGAATACAATAAGAAATAATGGGGAAATTAAGTTTAATACACAGAAATTCAAAAGGAAATTTCAGGACCTTGATCAGAAGCTTTCATTAAATGCTGGTGCTATTTGCTACTTCATTGTAGACAGAGGTTTGCTGCAGGCTAAAAGGAAGAATGTTTACCCTCTGAAGACATGATCTAAGAAATGGGCACCAAACACTCATGGAGAACTGGTTAGCCATCAAGAAGTCCCTGGTAAGGACGATTATGGAAGCAGTTAGCCACCTTTACAGAGCCTGAGCCTGTCTTAAAAAACAAAGTGTGGAACAGTCCTTATAAACAGAGCATGATGAGGTTTTGCCATTCTATAAATAATCTTCAGAGCACTGAGTGGATTCAAGCTGGGGCTCTTTTTTTTTGGCATGAGAAGCTTTGGGTGAAGAGCAAGCATGGGATGACCTACTGATGAACCTTCTCAAAGTACTCTTTGGAAGCTGTTGGGCTTGGCTTGATTGTAGGGGACTCTGGTGTCCAGTTGGCTGGGCAGACTTCTCCATGGGTCTCGACAAATTGGAATGCCTTCACCAATCGGAGGGTTTCTTCACCAATCGGAGGGTTTCTTCTAGTTGCGGCCCACTGGGAGGTCGTTGACACTCAGGTGCTTAATGACACCATTAGGGTCAATAATAAAGAGGCCTCTGAGTGCAATGCCAGCACCTTCCAACAGCACTCCATAGTCTCTGGCTATTTGCTTAGTTAAATCTGACAACAGCATGATGTTCATGTGGCCTAAACCACCATTCTTCCTTGGTGTATTGATCCAGGCAAGGTGGCTAAAGTGGGAATCCACTGAAACTGCAACTACTTCACAGTTTACATCATGAAATTCATTGGCTTTGTCACTGAAAGCAACAATTTCTGTAGGACACACAAATGTGAAATCCAAAGGGTAGAAGAAAAGCACCAAGTATTTCCCCTTAAAGTCATCCAGACTCAGCTCTTTGAACTCTCTGTTGATAACAGCAGTGCCCTTAAAATAGGGTGCATGCTGTGTGACAGCAGGGGCATGGACTGAGGAACTGGTGCTAAAGGCAAACTTTGCTTGGGCAGAGGCAGACCACAGTATGTCTGTCAAGCAGGTTCTTCTAGAAGTAATAGGCCTAAGAACTGCTGAGGCAGAAATACCCCGGGAAATAGCACTCCCATGCCGCCGAACAACCGAAGACCAGAGCAACCTTCCCACAACGGCCGCCATCTTCAGTGCACGCAGGAGGCCACGAAGTCATTTTAGAATTAAACGGAATAACAAGTTTTAACTGTATCATATCTGAACTTTTTGAATAGGATATAGCTTTGGAATAGACATGGCAATTAATGTGGACAAAGACAAACAGAGAGAAGTGTGTAAAATAGAGAGACAGAGACACAGAGATATTAACAGATGAACAATACTAAGTGCAGATCAGAGAAATGTATTAACAGTTACTAACTACAAAAAATGGTTGACAAGCTGGGTGTATTCTGTCATGCCTTCAATTCCATCACTCAGGAGGCAGACGCAGGTGTATCTTATTGAACTGGATGTCAGCATGATCTATTCAAAGAGTTCTAGGACAGCCAGACCAATATAGTAAGACAGAGCCTCCCCTAAAAGTCAATCAAACAAACACAAAATATTGAAAGAACTCAGAGGTCTTTACTAAAGCTTCTACAAGGAATTATGCATTCACTCCTGTTGTATATTTATTTTCCAGAAATCTGCACTGCCCCAGCTTAAACTGTAACTTCAATGATATCTTACTAAAAGGGAATGCATGTTTAAACAGGTAAAAAGAGAAGACAAAAATATTAGCAGTGTAAATGCTGATCATAAATGAGCAACATAAGATAGGAGAGATGGCTAAGCAGTGAGGAGCACTTGCTGCTCTTGCAAATAATTGGGCTCAATTGCTAGTGTTTACCTGGGACACACTACTTTCAATTGCTATAAGTTCATGAGTTCTGAAGACATCTTTAGACTACTGTGAGGATTAGGCACACAAGAGGTGCATATTCATGCATACAATCAAAATACTCATATTCAGTAAAAATTAAAAACAGATCCCAGATGGCTGAGCTGATTGCACACTGTGTCTGATAAGCTGGGTAGCAGAGACTGCATGGTGTCCAATAGTTGAATCTGTGGGTCCCAAACACCACTAACTGTGTTTCCAATGTAAGAAGAAAACCAATGATGAGGGAAACAATTGGGTCTAACCTCAGAGCACTCATCTCTGGGAAAGTTCCTGGGATGTTGCAGCAGGAAAAAGGTTTTCAAGCAAATGGACCCAAGAAGCAAGCAGGAGTAGCTCTTCTAATATCTAATAAAACAGACTTTCAACCAAAATTAATTGAAAGGGATGAGGAAGGGGGGAATCCAAGATGGCGGTGCCAGGAGGACACTGTGTCTGAGGAGCAGGACAGCAATGTTGGTACAATGTTGGTAAAAACTGAACTCTCAGCCCTAAAACAACAGTTATTGTGTTTCCCAGATGAGAGGACACTCCACGGTGTGGGAATCAGTCGGGTCCACGCTCAGATCACTCAGCAAGAACCCAGAAGATATTCCAGGTCGCAGTATACAACTTTGTGTCCTGATCGCCTTCCCAGGCTGAACTGTGAGCTCAAGGGCAACAGAGACTGGGAGCCCCAGTCTCAGAAAAAAAAAACTCACAGAGAAGAAGAAAGCAGGACTGACCTCAGGTCACCCACTCTATCACTGGAAAGGTCCTGCAGACCAGTGGGTGCACAGCGACCAGGCCTGAGTGGGCCTCCAGCCATTAGCCCTGCATGTCCTACTCTCCATCACAGACAGAACTGTGTGCCCCAGGACACAGAGACTGGGTTTCCCTGTCTGGAGAAAACTCCACAGGCAGGGAAATAGAAGGTCCCAGCTTAGAGCACTCAGCCAACTCCCCACACACACTACCACCACCACACACAGAAACATTCTTGGAAAAGTTCTCAGGTTCTTTCCCAGTCACCAGCTTGGAGCCATCACTGGCAAGTACCTACATACTCTATATGCCACCTCAAGCACCACAGACTGGGTCTTTCTATTGGGAGAAAACCCAAAGGTTGGGGAAACATCTGACCCTACCTCAGGACACCTAGCTCCAGAAAAGTTTCTGGATATTCACAAGCTCCAGACTCTAGCCTCCTTCTGCACACATGAGAGTGGTGCTCAACTGCCACTGATTACCACTTGGGTACTGGGGCACAGAGCTCCAAACTTACACCTGCAGAAGCCTGGGTTCCCTGAGATCAAGCCCTAGATATTGCTCCAAGAGACAACCAGTTATTTCTAAGTAAACTGACCAAGCCACAGGGCGCTCAGGTTACAGCAGCAGCTCACTTAATTTACAGCAAGAAACCCAGCAGCAGGGCAGCTGTCTCCTGGACTTCTCTGGGTGAGAGGATAGCCCCCTTGACTAACAAAGACCACAATTACCACTCAGGTCTGTACGCCTGAGGTGAGTTTTGGCAATTCCTGAAAAATACCTGCTATTCAGTGACCGTACCCCAAAAGCTGAGGAGGCCTCCTTCGGGAAAAATAATCTTCCTGCCAAGGGGATTCTCCCCACCACAGGATTCCAGGAAGCACCAGAAACTAACACTCAACACCTAAGATAGCCAAATGGGTAGAGGCAAGTGTAAAAGCTCAACCAACAAAAGACAGAGCAATGTGGCATCTCCAGAACCCAGTTATTCAGGGGCAAGCAGCCCTGGGCACACCAGGATAAATGAAATTCAAGAAGATGATCTTACATCTGTGCTTATGAACAGGATAATAGAGAAAAAAATAAACTGTGTAAAGACCTAGATGAAGATAAAGTCAAACAAATTATTGCCATTTGCAAAGAAATGGAGGAAGATAAAGTCAAACAGATTATGGCCATCCTTAAAGAAATACAGGAAGTTGCAGCCAAACAATTTGTGGCCTTTAGAGAGGAAATACTTAAATCACTGAAAGATATTAAAGAAACAGAGGATTGTTCGAACAAACAGCTGAAGAAATTGAAGGAAAATACAGTCAGAGAAGTGAAGGAAATCAATAAAATGGCTCAAGATCTGATAAGAGAATTGGAAAAAATTAAAGAAAACACAAGTGGAGAAAACTGTGGAGAGAAAAAAACTTAGGGAGAAAAAGAGGAACTACAGAGGTAAGCATAAGCAAGACTACGAAAGATGGAAGAAAGAATCTTAGGTGTGGAAGACACAATGAAAGAAATAGATGTAGCTATCAAAGAAAATGTTAAATCTAAAAAATTCCTGACACAGACCATCCAAGAAATCCAAGACAAGATGAAAAGCAAAACCTAAAAATAATAGGAATAGAGGAAAAAGAAGATTCCCTCCTCCAAGGCCCAGAAAATATTTTCAACAAAATCATAGAAGAAAATTTCCCCAAATTAAAAGAGAGGTCTATAAGAATACAAGAGGGCTACAGAACACCCAATAAATTAGATCGGAAAAAAATTCTCCCACCATATAATAAACAGTAAGTATACAGAACAAAGAAAAAATACTAAAAGCTGCAAGGGAAAAAGGCCAAGTAACATATAATGGCAAACCCATCAGAATCACACCTGACTTCTCAACAGAGACTATGAAAGCCAGAAGGGCCTGAGCAGATATCATGCAGGCCCTAAGAGAACACAGATGACATCCCAGGCTACTATATTCAGCAAAAGTCTCAGTCATCATAGGTGGAACAAAGAAGATATTTAATGACAAAAACAAATTTCAACAATA